TGCGGGTGATGTTATGGTCCGGGCACCATACATCGGAACAGATTGAAATAGATGTGTGGTTCGAGTGCCATACGTTGGAGCAGATGGAGGGTGATGCTATGGTTCAGGTACCATACACCGGAGCAAATTGAGAAGGCATGTCATGGGATGAGTACCATGGTTCGTAGTGGATGATGCTGGTGACTATCTTGTTATCCGATTATGATCGATGAGGTAGAGATCGGACGCTATGGGTTTTAGGCCTGTGGACCATGATTGAGGATGGAGAGGCGTTCCTTGAGAGGAGGAAAGGCGAGCACCTATGAGAGTATTGTGGTAGGGAGTTAAAGGGAGAGGGAAATATCGGTCTGAGTCGAGAAATCAGTCGATAGAGGAGAGGTCACCTTCTAGGTGGGTAGTGCCATTTATGTTCGTGTGCAAGACACGAGGGGTCTGGTGTTTCAGTTCTGGATTTGGGAGTACACCCTGCAGGTAATTTTCGATAATGACTTCCCTCAGAGCATCAGGTAGCGGGTGTACCGCGAGACAGTGATTTACCGTGAGCAGACAGTCAGTTGGGACTGAGGTAGCCGAGAACCACACCACACCTAATCGAGAATGACAGGTTGTGTTATAGTGGTAGCAGTGAAGAATTCAGTCGAGTTTTGCAGTGCAGAGAGTTTCGTCTAGGTTGAGAGTGAGTTCCTGTCCTTGGGACAAATCCGGCGTTGGATATGGGTTGATGAGTGGAGATGAGAGGAGCGATGATTTTGCGGTGCAGTCTACGAGTCAAAGATGATATCGAGCAGTGCAGGTGCTTAGTATTAGATTGGTATGGGATTTGGAACGATTAGAGGCAGCCGTGATGAGAAGTTCTTGGAGAGTTAACCAGAGGTTCAGAGTATAGAGGGTTGATTGACTTCATAAGGGGAGGGACTATTGGGTGTTGCATAGCACTTTCCTGGAGCAGGTACGATTTCGCTGGTGAAAGATAGTCGTGGGTTGATGGTATGCTAACTAGTGACGTTCAAACCCTAGTGGGGGAGAACCGGGTGCAGTACGTAGAAAACAAAGAGTTGGCAAGAGTAGTTATAAGCGGAGAATAGAGATATGCAGTAAGAAATCATGAGACCAGAGGTGTCGATGATCGAGTAAAGGGGTCAGAGTGAGTTAATGCGGGAAGTATTGAAGAGGAGAACGAACGTATTCATGACAGTGATTGGTGTTGTTGCAAGAGATAGAGAATGATTGGGCAGTCAACTTCCGGAGTCGGTATGCGTATCCTTGTTTGGATTTTGAGTGTCGGGAAAAAGGGATTGGAGAATTATCAGCGCATTTCGTACGTCAACGTTATCTCGCATTCCAATCGAGAAATTATATGCACCAAGGTTGTAAGGCGGGGAAAATATAGATTAATTATGGGGTGCAGGGGATCAGTGGTGGTGGTAGTATTCTGGGATATTCGGGTATGATATCCTTATTTTGGAGTTATTCGGGAATCCGAATTGAATCGACGTGTGGCATATTAGGTATCTGCGGATTTAGTAGGAGTCTTCGAGTATGGGCATTTAGGGAGATTATTTGAGAGGATGGATTTTCGCAAGATGGGCGTTCGTTATGTTGATTGCCTCCATAGTCTGTGGTGGATGTTCGAGTCGCAGTACTCACTAGTCAGAGGGTGTTGTGATACTGCGTGGAGTTGCAGTACTCACTGGGTGACAAGAGAATTTTTATGTTGGAATATTTTCGAGCAGCGTATGAGGTGGAAGAGTTTCGAGTTTGGGTAGCCCTGGTATTGAGTCTTTGGCTTGGATGTTGAGTCGGGGGCGAGACGGGGGTCTTCGTCTCTGTCGGGAGATGCGGGGCGATACGCAAGGAAGAGGCACAGCAGAAACCAGAGATTAGAGTTGAGACGATCCTCGGTGGGATTGTATTTTCTCTCACGAGGAAAGAAGATTTTGTGACTTACGTGTCACTGGGTCGGGATAGTGGTCACGGGGAGAAAAGTTAGTGGAATATTTGGATCGCGATATGGGTGACCGTTGGGGGCTCAGAGGTGGAGCCAAAAGTTGATCTGGTACTTAGTCTTGAAGAGGAATATGGGAAAGGAGCTTATCATGATGACATCTGAGGACACTTTAGAGAGGGCGAACGATGCGGACGTTCGAAGACATGTTTCGGGCATGTGTATTAGCTGTCGGAGGAAGCCGCGGTACGTAATTATCATTGGTTGAGTTGTTCCATATTAACAGCCATCATTAGTGCATTAGTATGCCGCCCTTTGAGCTGTTGCATGGAAGGTGATGTCGGAATCTCGTTCGTTGAGGAAAGGTAATGCATGGACCCGAGAGTCCTTGCGAGCAGATCCGGAACGGGTGCGGTACATGGAATAGTGACAAGGTCGTCAAGCGGATTTCCTAGGTAAGGGAAGAGAAAGGTACGTTGGGGGCGAGTGCAGCATGTGTATACGATTGCAAGAGGAGAACTCGTGAGAGTTGCCCTGAGAATTGAGAATGGGTCCCTCAGTTGTCCGATATGGATAAAGTGGGCTTAGGAACGGGGAACCGGTGATTCAGAGTTTCATAACCCTTATGGGTCGTGTGATCATTGAAATTTAGATCAGAGTCGCGTCTTGGGTAATTCTCGGTTGCAGGAAGCGGTGGACAGTACAGCGATCGTGTTTTGGTCGACAGAGCAGATGCAGCAGGATTAACCAGAGGTTAAAGATCGTTAGAGTTGACAGGAAGGTTATGCTGACAGACGCCGTTTCGAGCATGGGTTTCAGGTCGGCGACTTCGTATTCCTGACAGTCTCTCCCTGGGAAGGGGTGTTTCGATCCAGGAAGTGGGGTAAGTGGGGGCCTCGGTATGTTGGGTCTGTGTGTGAAGGTGCGAAGGTAGGAAAGGTGGCCTACCGGTTGGAGCTGCCAACGGAATTGGGATGGATCCATGACACTTTTAGGTGTCGCCATTGAAGAGGTGTATAGCAGATGAGTCAGCAGTGGTTCTACTAGAGAACGATTAGGTGGATGCGAGCCTGTGTTACGCCGAGAGGCCAGTGGCCATCAGGGATCGGAAGATCAAGTTTCTGAGGAACAAGGAGGTACCTCTGGTATTGATTCAGTGGCAACCGCGGAAGAGATCGGAAGTGTCTAGGGAAGCCGAAACGTGTGGTGCGGGAGCAGCAGCCAGAACTATTTTCAGAGTGAGACTTCGAGGGCGAAGTCTAATTCTAGTGGGGGAGAATTGTAACAGCCCAAAATCTTAAGTATTGTTTAATAGCATTTTGGGGTGTTTTAAAGGGGGACTCGGCGAGTTGGAGCCAGACTCGCCGAGTAGGGTCGCAGTTGTGGTCGCGGGTTCGTGGCTGGACTCGACGAGTCCAGGTATGGACTCGGCGAGTCGACGCTGTTCAGCGGAAAACCCTAGCCGTTCAGTTTGGGACGTATATAAGGGATCTTATGCCGTCATTGCTCGTCTTTTGGCCGATTGAAGAGAACCCTAAACGACTGAGGCGTCTAGAGCAAGCTTGAAGGCCATGGGTGACCTTGAAGGAATTGTTGTGCGGAAGGAGGGGGTTTTAGTTAAAGGAACTGCAGGGAGTTCGAGTTCTGAAGTTTGGGGAACATGGAAGGTACATCATTCAGGTAATAACTCGGATTACATTCTCCTGTGATTGATGTGTATATAGATTTAGGGTTTATGGAACCCATTTGGAGTCTAGATGGTTTGTTGTGTTGTTATTCAACGTTTATAACCTTGCATTAGGACCCTTAGAGGTCCAGAAGGATCCATGTTTGTATATTCGGGAAAATATGTACCTCAGGAAGCAGTTCGATCGACTGCATGGCGTGGACTCGCCGAGTCGGATGATCAGACTCGGCGAGTAGCTTGAAGATTCACTGGGACTCGCCGAGTTTGTTCTTCAGACTCGGCGAGTGGAGTCGGGGTGGCCCCGCGATTCTTCCAGGAGTAACTCGTCGAGTCAAAGGGGATACTCGACGAGTAGAAGGGGAATTTTAGAGGATTGAAGAACGACCAGACTCGCCGAGTCGCCAGGGAACTCGCCGAGTCCAGTCGAGCTGACAATGGACTGTTGACCAGAGATGACCGGTGTGATTTCTTAGGGTCAGTTAACGTGGAAGGTAGAAGTGTTAATAAGATATATGATGTTACAGGGAGCTTGTAGCTCGGAGGATCAAGTGCAAGGGACTTCAGGAGTTGCTATCTCCCAGCGTCCGCGAGGTGAGTCTTCTCACTATACTTCACCCGGAAGGGTTTGATTGTGTGACCGGAAGGTCAAGTATGTTATGTGTTATGTTTATATGCTATAAATGGAAAGTTAGCTGCTACGCGTGATATACATGTTTATATATGGGCCGGAAGGCAAAGTATTATGTGACAGAAAGGTCAGGTATGATATATGATATATGTGCTTTATGTGTTAGAGTATGTTACGGGCCGGAAGGCAGGTTGATATATGATATATGTGCTTTATGTGTTAGAGTATTTGTATTATGTGTTATAAATGTGTATGGGCCGGAAGGCAATTATTTTATGGGCCGGAAGGCAATTATCTTATGGGCCGGAAGGCAAATATCTTATGGGCCGGAAGGCGATTATCTCATGGGCCGGAAGGCATTGTGCAGTGGACCGGAAGGTCAGGGCCTGGAAAGGCGTACGTGCGTAAGGTGTATATTGGGGAACTCACTAAGCTTCGTGCTTACGTTGTTTATGTTATGTTGTTTCAGGTTCTTACAGTAACGCGGGATGGCAACGGTTCGATTGTACACACCGAAGAAAGAGTTGTGTTTTGGAGGATCCTGGTCTTCTATTATAATGAAAATGAAACTATGTTTTGTAATTCGAATGTGAATAAGATTTTAAACAAGTATTTTTAATATTAAATTGATTATTTAAATGAAAAATCTTGTCTTGAAAATCACGGTGTTACAAGGCTCGATGACGCAATACTTTATCTTCAACAATCTCCCCATTTGCATCAATTGAGATCATAGCCCTTCAGTTCGTGATTCGCTTCTTCACTTCATAGATCTTTGGAATGAAGCTCAGCAGCAGCTTGCGTACATGGATATACCACGTGATCATATCAGAGAAACATTTCAAGTCATCCTTGTGGTTGCCCTTGAACTTCGTAACTAGCTCCAAAATAAACCCCAGACAAGTATTAGTATACAAGTGTTTGTTTTCAACATGAAAGTATAGCTTTTGACTTTCTGCTCTTGGACGATCTCTAGACATGTACACAACAAACCATCCTTCCTTGTAAATTTTTCCTGGTTTGAGCTTCTCAAAGTTATTCGAGGCTTCCTTAGGAACAACACTTGGTTTCATGCTCAAAATTGTGGCAATATCCACATCCATCGTTCCAACCTCCTAAATGTATGATTTGATTATTAGTTGGAGATGGATCATCACAGGTTCATACTTCTCCTTTTCTCTTAGCAACATGTTATATAACACTATCTAGTCATGGGGGTTCAGGCAGGGCAGGTCTGCGAGTGTGAATTTGTAGGCTTGACATGATGATCCTCTCACAACTTTAAACTTCACATTAGGGAAGCTTTCGGCCTCGATCGGTCCAGTGACTTTCACAGCAACAATCTTTTGAATGCTCCAAGTCTTGTGTTGAGCCTTCATGTCCTTCAAGTAAAAGGAAAACAACATCTAATCAGACCTACTGTCTGTGAGAGGTGCATCAGCAACCTTCACGAAGGCACGAAACCTAAAGGCCTTTGGAGTAAATGGAAGGTCCAACTGCGAATCCTGAGAATTTAGAACTTCAAAGGATGCAACTGGATCCAACCAACATTGGCTTGGCAGATCCACAGCCTTATTCTGAATCCGCTTCAGGGTCCTCTTCGGGAATAACATCATTCAGCTTTTGAGTGTGGTATGAGCTTCTTTGTCGGCCTTTTCCTTTTCTTTTGCCACTCTGATGAGGAGAGCATTTTCATCTAACTCTACCTCACGAGCCTTCTGCCTTTTAAGCTCGGCTTCATTAGGCTCTTCATCTCATTCATCATCGATAATGGATTCATCGTTAAATAACTTTTCTTTACAATTGGGTTCTTTCTTGATGACGTGAGGGTTGACTGGAGCTTTGGGGGGGGGTTCATTCAACTGAACTTTGGAGCCACCTTCTCCTCCTTGTTGCGAAAACACCACCGGTTTCATAACACCTTCCAAACGGTGTAACATAGCGAACACCAGGCGTAGCTTCTTAGCCATATGTTTCTTTATATTGATGGAAATCATGGGATCACGAGTCTCAACGATATCAGAGAGAAATCCAGTAATGTCGGAGAGACAACTTCTAGTGACAGCCTTCTCCAATAGCAAATCATCAACCTGCTTTTCAGTGTAGCGAATCTGTTTCCAACACTTTACATTTTTCTTCTTTGACAGCAAGAGCATCCATTATTTTGCTCTCCATCGCCAGTTACTCCTGAAGCTTTGAGATCTTCACATCGATGGGAGACTGGAATGCTTTATTATCATACTGAAACCCCTTGCAAAGTTCATCGTAGTTCGTCCTTTTTGCTTTAAACATGCCCCACACGTTCTGAATGGCCTTGTTCGCAGTGATGGTGTTGGAGTTGTAGGTAGTCTTGTAATCTTCCATAAACTCGATGGTGTTAGCAATTAGTTTATCGACTTTTTCGGTCGTTGATTTACAAACATCAGCAGAGTCAGAAACTTCCTTGGTCATGGTAGAGGTGTTAGATGCATGTTCTTTTATGAGGCGCTCAAGAATGGACTCAACAACTGCTTTGGAGTAAGCCTCAGAAAAAGAAGGCTTGGATGCAAGAATCAACTGGCCGATCTTCTCGTGAAGAGACTTGAGGTCCCCTTTCGTAGTAGAGGCTTCATCTTCACTATCAATCCTGATTTGAAAAGGACTGTAAGTGAATCACCCCATATCATCTTCATCATCTCCGAAAATCATGTATGGGTCATCGGTGCGAATGGGAGAAATGGGTGGAGTAACATGGCTTGAAAAACCTGAAGTGTTAGCCCCCGTATCAAATATGTTGACTGAACTTACAGGTGCAGTAGATGCTTAGGGTGGAATGGTGGATTCTATAAAGATAGGAATTGAAACTGGAATAGATGTTGGTGGTTGAGATGAAACAGGTGGAGGACAAGAGGCAATAATAATGGGTGTAGAGGTGATTGTTTTTGGTGAGGGAGGAGGAGAAGGAACATAATCATTGAGTGGTGGAGTTACCTCACGATCTTGGGGTGGAACTTCAGTGTGAACAGGAGGTTCGTTGTGAACATGTTCGTCCTCCTCATTACGAAGTGGCCCTTGATCTTCACTGTGAATGGGCTGATTCTCCTCAATGCGGATCTCCGACACGGAATCAGATTCCAAACGTTTGGTTTCACTCTGGGATGGAGAGGGAGTGGGAGATATAAGCCTTATAGCAGGTTGCTTGCTTCTCTTTGGTGCAGCAGTAGACGCAATAGGAGCCTTTTGCTTTTTCGATGGGGTTTTCGCACCCTCGGTAGGTCCTTCTTTAGCAGCGCCTTTCTTCGTAGCTTTCTTCAATCCTCTTCCCCCTTTCTTGCCTTTGTCTGCCTCAGCCAAGATGACTTGGAATTCAGCAATCATTGGACGAAATCGTGAGGGAGTAAGAGTGCAATAACCCTCAAGGATTTTGCTGGTGGCAGGCACATCACGAAACATTGCCTCCGGTATTGATCCAATAAAGGAAAACTATGAAGAATCGGTCACAATGATTTCGGTAGTATGAAGCGTTGCAATGGAAGCCATTAGTGCATCAGACATCACTGGAATCTTGACTTGTTGAATCGCTTTGTGAACGACGATTGTCCAAAGTCTGGCACAGGAGATTTCACTATGATGAGTAGTTGAGTGAGTGCTCTGGATAACTTGAGCCCAGAGGATGGAACCATAGTCAACGTTGTCTCCGGTATAAAGACCATACATTAGACCCATGAAGAGCTTGTTCTCACAGTCATTGTCGGTGACTCATTCAGAAAAGGCATTAAACAAGATGGTAAATAGGGAGTTCCTTATAGGAGGAAGATTGGGTTTCTTGAACTTGGAAACGATAGTAAGAGTTTCCTTGTACCCCATTTGATAAAACATTTCCAAGATAGCAGCATTAGAAATGGTTTCTGGGTTGACCATGTTATCAGAATGAGTAAGCCCTAACAGACTGCAGAAACGAGCTTTGGCAATAGAGGTTGACTGGTTATGGATGTCGAAGTATATTTTGTTGGATTAATGTCTAAGTCCATAACTATAATTGGTAAGACTTGACCCGACCCGGCATGGTCCATTTGGGTTGCATGGCATCATGCACTTGGATAGACTAAAATGAGAGAAATAACACTTAAGGTTTGTTAATATATTATAAGTTCTAATATATTAATAAGGTTATTTAATTAGTATTGATCAAGAATTAATTTGGAATTAATTAAGTGATCAAAAGGAGACTAATTAAATATATGGGTTGATTGTGTAAATCATTCATTCTTATATATGTGGGCTTGTGATCTAAGATTCCTTATGTTGGACTAAGTCCATGGGGTGACCCATGGATACTCCATGGAGGTTAAAATCCATGGAGCATAAGGAATGGGTAAAGTCATGAGTTACATGGTGTAACCCTAATAGCCACCATATAAAAGAAACCCATGGCTCAAGAAATCGTGACAATGTGTGTGTATGAGGGCTAGACGATTTCATGAAGTGTTCTAACTTCTCTCTAAGTTATTCCAAGTGCTTATGGTGTTGTGTGAACCATTTGAGGTGTCACACTTGGGGCACTAGGCACTCAAGCTTCATGAAGACAAGCACTATCAAAGAGGTATGTATTCTATCTTGTTATATCCATTATTTTGTATGCTAGATTAGGATAATACCTTGGATGTTCATATTTGCATGTATAATAGAGAAAACATAGATCCAAGGTATTTAGGGTTGCATGTACACTTAGGAGTGTTAGAATGCTCATAACCCAACATATTTGTTGTTCATACTTGACATAGATGGCTGTTTGTATATGCCTTGGAGAGAATCGAGATCGAAACATTCTCAAATTGAGTCAAAACGATAGTGAGAGGAGAGTATTTCAAGCACTCGATAAGAGGGAGCGTGAAAGGATCATACTTAACTGGATCCAAATCGATGATGAGATTTTGGTGTTGCTTGATAGACAGAAGGGGGTGAACGAGCAGTTTTTTCGTGAACTGAAAGATTCCCAGATGATCCTGCCATTGATGAAGCGTAGAGAAGAAGATGAACAATAGAGAGCTTTTTGATCACCGAAAATTGCTTTATGAAGTTTAAAAGTGGTAATGAGAGATGGAACCATCAAAATATTTATATACGATTCGATATGTGAACAAAATCTAGAGAGAGAGAGAGAGTACCGGTTACTGAACCGTCGCCTGAAAAAGCGCGATGTGACAACTGTGAAATGTCAGATACCTGTGTCACACGGCGTAGAAATAGTTGTCCGTTAATCTTTGCATGCGCCCGTTTGAATTCTTATCTTTTGAATTTTGTCACGTCAATTCATCTCCATTCGCATTTAAGAAAGTGCTTTTGATTCATACCAACGTTGAAAGACAAGAACGTGGGTACAACTGCGAACCTGAAAAATTATTAGTAACCATGAACCAGAATTTTTTAAAACCACTGAGATCATCGTGCAAGAGTGTCAAAGAGAAATAAATAAAACGAAGTATATTTGTGGGTATTACTGATGTTTAAATAAAGACATAAAACTATTTATCCCAGGCAAAGAACTCTTCCTTCATAGTCAAGAGAGACTAAGAAGTGTCTGTGTGGTTTCCTATTGAATATAATCAAATGTTTGATAAGAAACATTGAAAGGCATCTTTTCATAAGGCTTATAAAGGGTGGTTCATCCTTCAACCAAACTACGAACTTGACATAAGTGCGAAAGTTGGTAGAAGTACTCGTGTGACCAGTGTAGTCAGTTGAACGAGTAGGTATGGAAATTATGTTAGTGACTTGGATAAGTATTGAAATCTCAAAAATAAAATAAAGATTGGATCCATTGGGAAGAAATGTCTTGGGACGAGAGCATTTCATTAGGATCACACAAAAGAAAAGAGATTTCTTGGTAACGACCACAAACGTGGACTTTTGTTAATTCCTTGGTGAAAATACTAGAACATTTAATTGTTCACCGTTAATTCATATAACGTATTGAATTTTCGGTTTTACTCAGTTCGTGGTAGAACAAAACTAAGATCATTAACCGATATTGTGTAACCATAAACCTCAATGGTAATTTCTGAGACTACGAATTACTATGAATGTTCGCACCGATTTGCAGTGTAACTTTATGAGTGCAAAAGTGGTCTTGGTACAGATTCAGCTTCCATCATTCCCAGCCCTTGAAGTATTCTATTGAAGGTTTCTTCTGGTAGGGACTTGGTGAATATGTCGGCTAATTGATAAGCGGATCTTATGAAATGAATTTCGACATTGCCATCTTCCACATGATCCTTGATAAAGTGATACCTCAGTGCTATATGTTTCGTCTTTGAGTTATGCATTGGGTTGTGACAAATGCAAATGGTAATTTCAGAGTCACAATAGATAGGGATTCTTTTCATACTAATATCGTAATCGCAAAGCTGGCTTTGAATGCACATGACCTGAGATGTACATGAAGTTGCATCTATGTATTCAGCCTTAGCTTTTGACAACGAAATGCATGTTTGTTTCGTCTATTGCCAACTCACCAGATTGCCATCAAGAAATTGGCATCCACCATTTGTGCTTTTTCTATATAAGCGCAACCCCCTAGGTCAGCATCTAAGAATGCTTTCACGAAAAAACCTGAGTTCGTAGGATACCATATTCCAAGAGATGACATTCGTTTCAGATACCTGAAGATATTCTTGACAGCCACCATATGAGGTTCGTGTGGGTTGGCTTGGAATCTAGCACAGTAACAAACTGAGAACATAATGTCTGGCCTACTAGCTGTTAGATACATGAGTGATCCAATCATCTGACGATAAAGGGTCATATCAGCAGCCAGTTTATCTAGTGAAGGAGTCAGTTTTGTTCCAAATGTCATTGGTACTTTAATCTTCGAGTCTCCTACCATTCCAAACTTAGAAAGTAAGGTCTTTGTGTAAGCTTCCTGATTAATGAAAATTCCTTCCTGTCTCTATCTAATGTTTAATCCAAGAAAACAGTTAATCGAGCCCATTGAGTTCATCTCAAATTTAGTTTCCATCAGCTTTCGGAACTCAGCTGTAAGGCTGGGATTAGTAGATCCGAAGACGATATCATCAACGTAAATTTATACAATCATCAAGTGTTCACCTGCTTTCTTGCAAAAGAAGGTTGGGTCAACCGAACCTTGTTTTAATTTGGACATTTTAAGAAAACGAGTTAATGTTTCATATCAGGCTCCTAGAGCTTGTTTTAGACCGTAAACTGCTTTGTCAAGAATATAACAGTAGTTGGGATATTTTTCATTTACAAATCCAGGTGGTTGTTCCACATAAATGGTCTCTTCTACTTCGCCATTTAGGAATGCACACTTCACATCGGTTTGAAAAACTTCAAAATTCTTGTGTGCTGCATACGCCAAAAAGATGCGAATAGATTCCAACCTTTCAACGGGTGTGAAGGTCTCTTCGTAGTCAATCCTCTATTCCTGGGAATAACCTTTGACCACAAGTCTAGCTTTGTTTCTAATCACATTCCCTTATGTATCCATTTTATTCTGAAACGCCCATTTTAAACCAACAACTGATGCATCTGGGGGAGTTGGAATCAGTCTCCAAACTTTGTTTCGTCGAACTCATTGAGTTCATCTTGCATCGCTTGCACCCAATCGGAATGATTGAGAGCAATGTTGACAGTTTTGGGTTCAATCTTGGATACGAACGAATTAAACATACAAAATTCTAATTTGGAGAATAATGCAGTTTGCTTCGCTTTCAGTTGAGAACGGGTAAGGACACCTGCAGAGGATTCATCAATAAATTGAGCTTTAGGGTGGTCTCTTGTCTATTTGGCCATATGAGGATCATTGGGGTCTAAGGATGGATTTAGCTTAACATTTACTTCCTCGTATTCAAATTGAACGGATTGATCATCCGAATCATCATTCATTTCCTTATTCTCCCCCTTGAAGGATGCGAACTTGTTGTCTTAAGGAATTGAATCATCTGTGAATAGAGGTTCGTGGGTCATGGTTGGTGGGGAATTATCTCCATCAGAAGGAGGTTCAGTAGATATGGGTGAAGCAAAACCCTCCCCCTTCAAAGAAGCATTCGTGCTTTGAGTTGTAACATTCTCCCCCTGGAATCGTGTGTTAGACCCAAAATACTCCCATTGGTAAGTTGTGCTTGTGTTTTGATGGACATTCGCAGTGGATGGATGATGTGGCATGTCTTTCGCAGCATCATCGATAATCTTCTTAAGTTTCTCGACTTTATTAACTGTTGCCTTGGCTTCAAACGAGATGGCTCTCTCAGGTTCATCAAAGAGTAACATGAAATCTTCATAAAGGTTGGAAACAGGAATAACAACTGGACAAGGTTTAGGAAAGATTTCCTTGATCTGATTTTCGTTTGTCTAAATTT